AACATTGTGAACTAAAATTGCCATTAGAGACCAATTTGGGAAAGCATTCACTTTAACTAAAGCTTTCTTTCTACTTTTGCTGCCTTTAATTTATATTATATATCACAAAATTCAATATGGTAATGCTGTAAAATTTGGACAAATCAATCACTATAAATAACTTTCCCATTTTTTTTGTTAAGAATAAAAGTAAATAGAGAGATATTCGAGTCATAATTCAAATGTTTCATTCAATCATTTTTAAAAGATGACATCTATTGCATTTTCTTTCATTATCCCAAACTATGGTCTTCTTTGTATATATAACAAAGAATTTAAGAATATGGCATTAGAGTCTATACAGTTAAAACTTACCTCTTTGCCCCAATTATTGAAAAGCCTAGAAGAATTGCTTGAACTTTGCCTAAGCTACAAAGGCAAAAACATAGTATATGCTTAATACTACAAATAACAAAACCTATAAAAAGCTTGTGAAGGGCTAGTGAGAGGTACCAATCTTGAAGATGAATAGTTGGCCAATTTGCTATCATGAAGATAGTGGATGCACGATTTTGTGATGGTGAAGCTCATTATTGCTTCGATTATTGTTTTGAATATAGTTTTTCTGCTAGGATTTTGGATTTTGCTACTTTGTTATGTGGGAGGGAAAATGGATAACGTAATTATTTATATCCACTTTAATTTTTAAAATAAAATATTAAATATAATTTGACATGTACTTGCTTAATTAATTTTTATTTTTTCAAACATTGCATAATATAAATAAATATTATATATATACTAATTTTTTAAATTTCGAATAGTTTCTTTAAAATAATCTATTTATGATAGCACAATTAAAGAGATAAAATTGAAATATCTAGAAAAGTCCAATGCTTGAAATAAAAATGGCCCAAAACCATGTAAGAGACAAGCAAAAACCATTAAACATTTTAGAATAAAAAAGGTTAAATTATGTTATTAGTCCTTACAGTTATACTAAATTTGAACTTCAGCCTCTGTACCATACTATGAAAAAAATCAGATCCTCATACTAGTTTAATTTAATAATATTGATTTAATTGATAATAGTATTAATTGATCTCTGTTAAGTTAGCTGACGTGACCGTTGACCATGTGGTGTGGTGTTGACTTCAATGATGTGGCATTGACTTCAATAATGTAGCATTTATTTGCTAATGTGGTAATTGGTATTGATGAAATCAGTTATTAAATAATGCAAATGGTCATTGTATTCATAAGAAATGTGAAATTTACTATTTATACTCACACAAAATTGGAAATTTAGTCCTTCTATTCGCACGAAATTTAAAATTTAATCTCTCTAATATAAAAAATATTTTGAATTTTTAAAAATTTTTTAATTTTTTAAAACATTAAATTTTAAAAATTATTACAATATTCTCTTATAATATTCTATCGTAATATTAAAAAATCTATCATAATATTTAGTCATAATTTTATATATTGTCATTGAATCTGTCACAATTTTTGTCACCCATGCAAAATATTATTTTTAGTTTTGTCACTATTTCTTATTACATTCTATAATTAAAATATAAATATGTTGCTAATTTTATCTTCTTTTTTTGTATTATGCCCATGCAAAAAAAATCTTAAACCAATCTATTAAAAATCTATCACAAATTTATAAATATATGATACAAAATTGTCATTAATTGCATAATTTGGCCTTTAGACAGTGATGTAAAAATTAAACTTCATTAATATAACTATTAAAAAATTTACAACAAATGCCAAAAGGGTCAAATAACATCAAATGCTTAACAGGATCCAACAACCCTAGGCACTATGGTTTTTAGCTTGCAACAAATCCCCTTTTATGCTTTCAATTACTTCACTTCTTAGCTATCTTTAGTTATGATACTCTTAGCACTTGTTGTCAATCAGCATAAGCTTTGGCTATCTTTAGGTTGTAGTTGGATCAAGGATTCACCATATAAATAAAATGAAGTTGGTTTAGGTTTTGCAACACATTGGCTCAAAAAAGAAGATTGAGAACTTAGCTTCTATTCCTTGGAACCATTGAAGTCCAAATCAACCTTTCTATATTCCATGATTGCAGTTTTGTTCACAGACTTTTTTGTCATGGGAACATTAACATCATTAATGTTTTTCAAATTAGAGAACCTTGTATTTTTGTTAAATATGATTCGACTTCGTTTATCAATCAAATCCTTAGCAAGTTTCTTGTTGAAACTTGTTTCCTCTTTAGATTTTGACAAAAACATAATCACCTTTCTAAAACCATTTTTCTTGAACTATTGTGATCGATCTTGTTGATCTAAATCCAGTGACAAATCTGTCAAGATGTTTAAAACCACTATACAGATATTTGCATTGTACAAGCTTCCATGAAGAAAGGGTTTGAGTGAATTCTTCAGGATTGTCAAAACCCCATGATCCAAGAATTGTTGTTGAAAACTTTTCTCAAACAAAATGTAAGTAAGAAAAGCCAGTTTTTGGAGTTTGTTGATGGTAGGTTGGCCTATTTTACTAAGTTGTGCATTGTCCTCAACAGCAATCTCAAGCTCATAAATTACTTTTTTCAACAAACAATGTGACTTGTTTAGGATTTTTCTTAATATTCTTCCTACTTTTAATAGTATTAAAAATAGCATTGATTTCTAGATTATCTCCATGAATATCTAAAAATAATAGTTTTATTAAAATTAGATAGTGATAGATTTATATCATATATTGACATATTTGTGATAGATTTTTAATAGATTGGTTTAAATTTTTTTCATATGGCCCACGATATACTATAATTGTGACAAAAAATCATGACAAAGTTAGTAACAGATTTATATTTTATGACAAAATGTAATGAAAAATAGTGATAGAACTAGTAGTAGTATTTCATATGGGTGACAAAAATTATGACAAGTTTAGTGACAATATATGAAAATTATGATTAAATATTGTAATAGATTTTTCAATATTGTGATATAATATTATGAAAGAAGATTGTAGCAGTTTTAAAATTTAATGTTTTAAAAAAACTAGAAATTTTCTAAAAATTCAAAATATTTTTTATTAGAGGGACTAAATTTCAAATTTCGTGTGAGTATAATGACTAAATTTTAAATTTTATACAAGTATAATGATTGAATTTCAAATTTTGTATGAGAGTAAGGACCATTTGCATAATTTAATAATTGATTGCATTAATCCCAATTGCCATGTCAGCAAGTTAATGCCACATTATTGAAGTCAATGCCACATCATTGAAGTCAACGTCATGTCATTGAAGTCAACACCATGTCAGCATGATCAACGGCCATATAAGCTAATTTAACGAAGATCAACTAACAGTGTTATCAATTGGATCAATATTATTAAATTAAATTAGTATGAAGATCTGATTTTTCTAGATTATTGTATAGGGACTAAAGTTCAAATTTAATAGAAGAACATGGATTAATCACATAATTTGATCAGTAAAAAATAAGAGTTACTTTCAGATAATTTTTAATAAAAAATGGTAATATGAAAGAAAAGTAATATAAAAAATATGAAAGTAATACAATTAAAAATTTTAATAAAAATTATATATAAATTTAATAAAAATATATTTCTTATTTAATATATTTACATGAATTTTTATATGATAATTTTTGGATTTTATATATATTTAACATAAAATAAAAGACAATTATCCAAATTTGCATATTTACTTTGAGTCTATTTAGATAGATGATGAAATTAATTTTGATGAAATTAAAGATAATATAAAAATAAAATTAATTATCGTAATAATATGATTAAAATCAATTATAAAATATGTATTTAAATATAAAAAAAATAGTCCCGGTGGGATGAATTATAAGAAAAAGATAAAAGATCATTAAAGATATTGATTAAAAATGATATATAATAAAAATTTTAAATTATTTAATGTTTATAAAATAAATAAATAATTAAAAATTATTTTAAAATCAAATAATATTTTTAATAAATAAATAATTATTTATTAGTTTATTATTTAATAAAAAATTATTTATTAACTAATTTATTATATAATAAATTTTATTTTTATATTAGACTAACAAAATTACTTTATCTTTTAAATAAATTAAACAAAAAAAATAAAGTTAAAAATTGTTAACTTGAGGAACAACAATAAAAAAAAATAAAAGTTGCTATTGGAGTGATCTGGAATCTTTATCTCCAGAGAGCAAACGACAAAAATTATGGCATACAGCAACATTATTTAAATATCAAAATTGCTGTTGGCATAAATTTTTATAATAATTGAACGGCCAGTGGAGTCTGATGTATTCCAAACTTCGTCAAGATTCTCTTTTAGTTTTATTGTATTGTATAATATTTTTGTGGCAAATTATAATTCAAAATCCGAAAAAACTTCTCATTTATAAAAAAAGCCCAAAATAAAAATGAAAAAACCAAAAAAATTACAATTACTTAAAAAAGAAAATCATAATTGTCAAATACAAAGTGTTAGGGGCATGCTCAAATAGAGTAAAACATGTTTGTGATCCAGTTGTTGTAGAGGCAATAGTCTCCTGAATACAGCGATTGAATTTTCCAAGATTACAATCGGTTATACTAGAAGGGATGCATTTGAAGTAATGAATCAGCCAAAGTCTAAGGAGGAGAATCTGTGGATGATCGGTGAACTGATACAAGATGCGACGACATTGAGGACGCAATTTCAGTCCTTTTCAGCTCTTCGTACAAAAAGGTGGCAAACAGGGCCGCACATAGAACTGCAAAGTACGCAGGTACATCACCAGTAGAGGAGTTTCAATGATTAATGAATGTCCTAACATTGTTTCTGATCTAGTACTTGCTAAAACCACACTTCTTTAAATCAATGAGTTTATATTTACAAAAAAAATCATAATTGCCAAATAAACCCCAAAAAGTGTTAACCGTTAGCCACACGCAAAAGCTAGCGCGTTTGCTTCAATGCAAACATCTTTCTTCGCCTAACTTCTATATAAGCAGCGGAATCCAACCCCAAAGTACAACTAGGCGGAACCATCTTCTCGTCTTTGACTCATATACGGTTCTTTCTTGTTCACACTTTTTCTTAGTAAAACAAAACAAAAAGAAAAACTGTTTGCAGATGGGAAAGCCAGGGTTGTTTGATCTTGAGAATCATTTTGCGTTCTATGGGGCATACCACAGTAACCCAATCAACATCTTGATACATACTTTATTTGTGTGGCCTATCTTTTTTACTGCTCTTGTTCTTTTCCACTTTACTCCGACCGTCTACGATCTTTCTCAAGCTGGGATTTTGCCTTCTGGGTTTAATCCTGTTTTGGGTTTTAATTTTGGGTTTGCTTTTGCTCTTTTCTATGGCTTGTTTTATGTAATTTTGGATAAGAAAGCTGGGTCCTTGGCGGCTTTGCTTTGTTTAGGTTGCTGGGTTAGTGCTAGTTTTCTTGCTGCAAGGCTTGGATATTCTCTGGCTTGGAAGGTAAGTTTTGTAGAAAAATTGTGAAAAAAATTGCTTTTCTGATTATCTTAATTTCAATTTTATGCTGTTAACCTTATTTTTTATTGTTAATTTCATTTGGGATTTTGTTTTTTGTTTTTTTTTTCTTAATGAACTTTGTCTTCCTTTTTCAGTACTGTTGAGGTTCTTGTTGAAAGAAACAGGATGTGTAAAACAACCTGGGTCTAGCTTGGCATCAAAGTCAAGTCTTTATACTTTTCAATAGTCCAGATCCATGTGTTACTAGAACCGATTTATTTATTTTGAGCATCAGAAATCATTTACTATAGGGATTGACTTTTCTAGATTGCCATGTAATTGTTTCTTTACCTTGTTTTGACAAATCCTTGGCTAATATGGAGAGGCCTACCTCTACTATGCCCCTTTCTTTAGTGCAGTACAGACTTAATTTTTTAGGTAATAATTTTAAATGATGTCTAGTAGACGAGGAAATCATTGTATTGATGGAGAATTGAAGATGGTGTTAAAAATAATTCCATTATTTCAGAATAGATTTGTGACTGCTGCTCTCTTTTTCATTAAGTGATCATTTTGCATATTTCATATTTTTTAGTACATAGGGCGACGCAGCCCGGAATAGGGTAAAGCGGTTGCAGGTGCTGGAATGTGAACTCTAGAAATTTTAGATGCCACCTCTTAAGGGTGATCACATAAACCAATTGAGCTAAGCTTCGAGTTCGCATAATTTATACTTATAGTTACTTTGTTGATCATGTACAGAGATTGAAAGTTGTAGGTGAATGAATAATTAAGGGAGAAGTCCTGCCAATATCCAGAAAAGTGAATGAACAAGGTTAATTCCTGCTTTTTGTGTTTCTAGCACAAGTTTTATGGACTTACACAGTTAAATTTGGAGGGATCAATGCTAAATACCGGCAATTAAGGGCCCTTTATGTTCATATCTATTGCAGGGTCACTATATCTTCTGTCTAATCAGGCTCTGTTGAACGTGTGTTTACCGATAATTTGCTCAGGAATTAGAGGATATGAAGAAAGAAAACTCTTTTATTGAAAAAGGTTACATCAGACAATATTGTGTAATATTTGAACAAACCTATATGGAATTCGCTGCCAGATGATTTATTGTGGAAAAGAAAAATTACTTCTTATGTTGATAAATTGATCTATATCGCTTTTCAGATTGCGAAGATACTTAATCTTTTGTGTTTTTAGTCATGTAGATTCATTTGTGTGCTTTTGCTGAACGTGGTTTTCCTTTTATTTTGAATTGTAACTCCGTACACTCTATTCAGGTTGTGCTTGCTGCTCAATTGTTCTGTTGGAGTGGACAGTTTCTAGGCCATGGAGTGTTTGAGGTGAGTGATTGTATAATGCTTATAATTTTTTGCTTTAATTGTCTTTTCTTGCACTCTTCAAAAATCACTCATTAAAATATTCTTTGAAGAAACGTGCACCAGCTCTGTTGGACAATCTTGTTCAAGCTTTGGTGATGGCTCCTTTCTTTGTTTTGCTTGAGGTAGGGGTAGTAGTTGTGTTCCTTTATACACAAATGAAAAGAAAATTTTCCGAAGTTCTAAACCGTTTGGGATTTGAATTTTATTTGGTGCAGGTTCTTCAATCACTCTTCGGATATGAACCATATCCAGGGTTTCATGGATGCGTGAAAGCTAAGATAGAAGCTGAAATCAAGGAGTGGCAGGACAAGAAACAGAAAAAGGTTTCTTAGGTTTGATTGATCAACTTTCTCATGCAAGGATTTTGGTTAAACTACTGTAAAAACCAATGAAGGAATGGTCATGTATTCATGTACCATTGAAATTATTACCAGACTCCTGTTCTGCTTTTATTTTCGGATTTCCCTTATTCATTCCTTTGGTCCACTCTTGATTGCATATTTGCTAGTAGAGCTAATCACTGCTATGATCTGGCTACGACTCCAACTGATGTCTTCTTATATTTCCCTCATATTTTCCCCATGCTCTATGATTTTATTTTATGTACCTGGAAAACAGTCAGTACTCTCCTCCAAAGAGTCAAATTGCATTCATTTGGAATACTCATTATCAACTGGTAAAACCTCTTCTACCGGCCCTGGTCATCCCAGCATAGCCATCATGTATGCTTCCATCGTACTTTCTTTTTGGTTATTCTGTTACTTTTGCCTCATCATGCCTCATTGGACTGGCCCTGCTTCAATGAGGCCTCATCAGCCTTGAATACCTTTCCTCAACATTCTCAAGTACAGACAGGTCAAGTGGTGCTTTGCACTTACCATAAAATACATGACATTGATATCTTTGAGGGTATTTGTTTAGACGCTTGGTGTGCTGTCTTAATGTCCTTAAACAGGCCAAACATGTGTATTAAAGTGTTCCTGAAAAAAACTTGTCCCACCTCTCATCCTTCTTGCGTTCTACTATGGTCTTTCTAGATGTCATTTGCATGGTGATTAGTAACAATAGCCAAACCCGCCAATAATTCTTTCCATAAAAAACTCATCTAGGTTTTCAATTTTTCCAAAACGGATACGGCATAATCCGTGTTTCGAAATGCTTGAAGGTAGCCAAAAAGATACATGTTGATAAATTTCCAGCCAAAACAGAAAGAGGGTTTGATCACAACCCGACTTCACATTATAACATTTTCTTACAAGAGGACATCAGATTTTGTTCCTTTCTGGACAGAAACTAGTGATGTTGAGGTTCGAATGTCAACTTGTTTGCAATTGGGAAGGTGAAGAGGAAAAGGTTAAGATTTGAACAATAAATTGAGGAAGTTTTCTATTGTCTTGAAGACAAAAATAACAAATTCAGGTTTAGTTCAGTTAGTACATATAATCAGGACTTTAGTTGTTGGGCATAGTAACTAAATTATGGCTGGTAAATCCAAAATGGTATTAATTCTCATTGATACTACAAATATATGCAGCCTTTCAGTTTACTATTAAAATGTGGGATAATAATTACTGTGGTGGGAGCAGTTTGGCCATGCTGTATTGTTCAGTATACATGTATAGACAACAGGATGATCAAAATGGGGACTCTTTTTTCAAGTATGCAAGAAATTGTTTATTCGTTTAGTTGTTCCAGATCTTTGAACAATGACTTTGGCCATTGCCATTGGCCTTATTCCTTGAATTTCCTAGTCGTTACCAAAGTCTGGTTCTATTTTCACAAACTTATATTATTCAAAGGTTTTTATGACGTCAACTCTTGAAATTTGAACTTGGTACTTACTGATAATAGAAGACCAGATGTAATTTAATTACAACTTTTTCCTAGATGCCCTTAACATAACCTGAATCTCCTATAGTAATGGGATTTTTAGGGTCCATTTGGACTAAACAGATCCCGGTGTGGCTCGATTGAGTTAGTTTTTGACCCAACGTACCGCAAGGATCCGTTAAATCCAAACGTACAGGCACCGTGGAGTCATTCCCATCATGCCGGTCTCGTTTGTGCACCAGAAAACGAACGACCTGGATTAGGGCTCGATCACCAGGACTGTAAAACGAACTGGTTCTGTAAATGACAAGTTGCTCTTCATTGTTATGATCATTGTTCATTATACAGCAAAAGCTTGATTGAGTTCCCTAGCATGATTTTGATCAACATATCCGTTGAAGACAAGCATGCTTACATACAAAATCAGTTGCTTCCATCATCAACCGAGTTTAACCACAAAAACTGTCTTTAGCTATTCTTCTGCCAGCTGATCAACCGCCTACCATAAAACCAGTGCATGTTTTTAGCGCATTTGAAGGAATTAAAGCACCTCCAACACCAATATCATCAAAGAAATTTTCCAAGTTTTGTGTGATTTTCAGCCTCCAAAAATTTCCAACTTATGAAGAGAGAAAAAAAAATGCTAGAACCTTTCGAAAAGGGACTAAATAATTTCACCGCCATCATGGTTAGGTCATGGATTTCCAAGCTCATTGGTTCTTAGACATGCCAGGTCATTTATATACAACATCAGCTGCATTATTTCTTTAATCTCATTATGTCTTTAATGTGCTTACCTTCGCCAACCCACAAATTTTTTTTTTTTATTCCTAATAACAATCATCAAAAGAAAAGCTTCAATTACTTGAAATGTTGAGAATAATGGAGGGTTTAAAATCTTGATTGGTGCTCATTCGAGCAAATTAAACATAAAATAAAAGGGTGAACGAGGCTCGTCTAAATCCAAACCTAAATTTTCAAATTGTCAACTTGCCCGACTTGGCTTACAAGCATCCAATAAAGATTTTGTTGAGTTAAAATTATGATCAATAGAAATTAACATGCTTGTATAGATTGAAAACATTTTTTTCTTTTTCTAAAAAAAAATTTTGAATTTATTTTTAAATCTCGTTACCCTTATATTTATATTGGTGAAAAAGATATTATGCATTTAAATTATTTTAAATTCGTAGCTTCTAAATATCAAGTCCAATAATATGTCATTTGATCTAAAATTCAGTCAACAAAAATAACCCTCATCAAAACAGTTTGTTGTGGCAAGAAACCAACAGTTTGTTGTAACTTATAACCTTAATTTATATTATTTTGGTGCAAAGATATTAAGATATGTCCATACCATTATTGATTCAAATTTAGAACAAAAGTGGACAATGAAATACATTTTAAAATAGCCTTTTTTTTCTAGTTTTCCCTCTTTTATTCTTTTTCTTTATTCTTTATTCTTTTTGAGCCAAATTGGCTTTCAGATTGTGCTGCGTTAATGAGTGGAACTTAGGCTGATCAAGTATTGGCTAATCTGTGGGTAGATTGTTTTAGGTTCAGAAATTGGAAAAGCACCGGAATTTGGGTTTTTTTTTTTTTTTAATTTTTAATCTACTTTTAAATTCTTTGCTTTTATATTTACATGACTGAAAAAAAATATTACATACATAAATTCTTTTAAACAAGTAATCTCTAAACGTTAGCTTTAATATTTTGCCTGGTGAAATTTGGATATTTCTTGGTTTCAGTCTTAAAATAACTAATAAATCAAAATTCTTGGTGTACTTTTTTTTCCTCCATATTGTATTTTCATTTTTCTTTTGTAATAGGGATGGAAAGATCTATCACTCCTAAATGTTGCTACTTCTCTTTTTTAAAGGAACTAGAATGGTGGCTCGCATTGGCTTTTGATACTTTTTAATTAATAAAAAGTAATTTTAAATTAAATAATAATACAAATAAGTAATTATTGTAAAAAAATAGATTTTTTAAAAATAATAATGAAAATATTACACTAATTAAGAAAAAAATTGATAATTCAAAAGTTTTATTTGCAATAATTTATATTACTTCTCATTATGATCATAAAAATTAAGAAGAATTTTTTTATGAATTGTTATATTACAAAATACAATTGTATTTTTGAATCCATAAAATATTTTTTGTAATAATTTTGCATTTGACTTTTTTATTATTTAAATGAATATAAAAAAATTGTAAACCAATTATTTTTAAATTGTTTGGAAAAAATGTAAATAACTTTTTGGGGCCAAACTAAATTCGAGGTGATTTTGTAATAATGGAATCAATTTTTTTATAAATTGATTGTTCAAAATAGTTATTATTGATAATTTTTTCATGTAAAAAACAAAATCATGTTATAAAAATATATGCTTTAGGTATAAAAGAATGTGATCATTAGTGTATCATATTATTTATATTAGGGTGTATTTATCATATGAAGTCACTAAAAATAAAATTTAAAATTGTTTACATTATGTTCTTATTATTTTATAAAGCCATTGAAAATAAAATTTAAAATAGTTTGTAACATTATACTTTAATTAATATTAATTATATATTATTCAAACTCATTTTGTCTCAAATTTAATATTGATATAAAAATAAAATTAGACAGTTAAAAAATTTTGAATTTAACTATTTTAATATTATTTCTTCATTTTTTTACAATATTAATAAACTATAGATTTAAATGTTAAAGAGTAAACAAATAATATGAACATTAAGAATTGTATGTTTTATAGGAAATGAAAACAATTTTGAGTCAATCCAAAAAAAATGTGGAGTTTAATTTGGCAAAAAAAAGGAGTATGTTTTTAATTTGTTTTTATTGTGTTGATTAATATATTTTTATCTATTAATTTTTATTTGAAGTTAGGTAACTATTATTATCCAATTATATCATTTTTATGTTTTTCTTTATCACTTCTAAATATTCAAAACATTTTTACCCAACTTGTCAATCCTTTATTTCATTTTGTATTCTTAATTCTATTTATTTCCTCTATTTTAGTAATTATTTAATTATGTTAGAATTACTTTTGTTGATAATAGAACATATTATTTGAAAAATATAAAAATTTTTAAAATTTGTGAAATTTTTTTAAAAAAGAAAATTAAAAAGCATATATAAATTAAATTAAATATTAAAAAACCACTAAAAAAGAAGAAAAAATGTAAGAAATGAAGGCAACAAAAATTTTTATATAAACTAATTCTCACAACCCTAACAAATGACATTAAGCCCTAAGTAGGCCAAAATAAAATCAATTAAAAGATGGCACAATATTAAACCTTAAGTTGGCCAAAATTTTGAATTAAAATTGAAAGAGGACAACTTAATCTTATGTTATTGATAAGGTCGAAGGATTTAAATATTAATCTCCCTAATTTTTTCACATATACTGATATATTTACCACCAAAAGGGAGAGAAAAGAAAATACACAACAAAATGTTGGTTTGAGTATACGCCAGCATTTTGGGGAGTTTTTTCAGGACAAGTCAAATCAATTAACATTTGTAATTTTGTTTGGGTCCCTCTTTTCTGGTTTATTGGGCAAAATTGTTTGTGGGATCACATTAAAATTTAGAGTAGAGTTAGCATTTGGTATTTATGCACCATTGAGTTTTTAGAACTAAAAAAATTCATAAATGTGTGGTTGTCAAATATCAACACCACACTTTATAAAAAAGGTTTAATGTAAAATTTGGCCCTTAAATTATAATATTTTCACGATTTAATATTTATTAAAAAAATTTATGTTTTAATATCCAACTTTTATTCTATCAAACCATTGGTTTCATACTCTAACTCTGTTAATAATATCTTGACGTGACAAATAATAATTAATAAAATATTAAAAAACCCTTTGAGCTTTTTTTTTTTTAATAAGATCTTATATTTTTATTGTATTTAAATAAATTTTTATATTTTAATTTGTGTCTAAATAAATCCTCATTTCAAATGAAAGAATGATTTATATTAAGAGTTTATTTAGATAAAAATTAAAAAATTATTTGGATCCAAATTAAAAATTAAATGCTTATGGGAGTGCAAATTAAAAATTAAAAATTAAAAATTTATTTGAATATAATAAACATATAAAGACTTTTTTTTTTATTTTAGCCTAAATTATAACACTTTTCATAATTTGATACCTACAAAATAAAAATTCATGCTTTAATATCCAACTTTCTTTCTTATCCCCATTTCCTGAATTCATAAATAATATGCTAACTTGACAAGAAAATAACAAATTAAATTATGACACATGGTGCATTTCGTTAGCCAATATTCATCTCATCATCATTCTGGCTAACACCCTTAATAACAGGACAAAATGCTTAATGAAAATAAAGTTAAGATATCAAATCATGAATTTTTTATAGATATTAAATTATAAAAAGTGATATAATTCAAGAGTCAGACTGTATATTAACAAAAAAAAAAAAAATTGAGCTAATTCTTGACTATTAAAAGGTTTTAGGTTAACATTTGACCAATGGGTTGTTAATTTAGTAATATTAGAGTCGGTTCTAAAATTGAAAATCTTAAATTCGAACATTCATCGTAATAAAAAAAAAATTTTAACATATTGACCTTTCAAATCCTCCGTATCTAGAGTAGACAAATTAGCTTGGAAAGCTAATTTAAAAGAATTGTCCAATGCTTTGAAATCTCTCTCACCTAACAAACTTAAATTAGCTCTTAATCAGTAAGTACTTTATATCCTTTTACATCATACTAGCAAGAAAGACTTAATTTTAAACAATGGTGAGCCCTCTCAAGAAAGATGTATAGGTTTAGAACTTAGATGAAGAAAGTAGAGGGAGGGATTATTGATTTTGTCCTTGTAGCTTATTTTTGGCTTTTTTTTTTCTCTGTATCTGATGAAAATTTTAAATAAATTGTTATGAAAGAGTGCTGAATTTTCTTACAAAAAGTTTTAGTACCTTTTGGTAGTGGTTTCAGCTGATATTTCCATAATTTGTCTATTTCTGATGTTTTGATTCAACCTCAAAATGAACTACTTTCTTACTTGTTTTTGCAAAAATATGAAATATATTTTTTATTTTCATCAAATTTATGTGTGATTTTATTAAATTTTTAAATAATTTTATATTTATATTATTATATTTTATTTAAAATTATCCTATCTAATTTCAACTCATTTTACCTTTTTTTTTTTAAAAAACAATATGGGGTTAAATGAGTCATTTTGAGTTGAATAAAAACTTTATCTAATTTTCAGATAATCTTCCATGCATTCACACAGCTGTATCACTAATTATAATAAAAAGGATTTGTTTTGGGAAAGCTCCTTATTCACATTGAAAAGTAGGCTAATATTCTCTAAGCTTCTCTTACTGTTTGAATATGTTGTAATAACACACATGTTCGTTATTTCCGATTTGCAGATGAAACAAACAATAAAATCAACATCTTAACCTTATTGGACCTAAATCTTCTTGATAAATCTATAAAAATTAATTATAAATTATATGCATAGATCATAGAAGAATTTGACTTGAAACGATTTGTATGTCTTTATTTTAGATTCTCCATTGAGATATTATGGTAAATGTAATTCTCATAGTTTTAATATTAAAGGGTTTTTTTCGTCATCCAAAAAAATCACAATTTATTTGATAAATTATGTAGTAATTAACATCAAAACAACCCAAATTTGTCCACTTTCTTAAGGTTTGAATTCTCGCTCTAATTAATAAGATAATCGAACTTGCTAGATTTTCGAGATTAGCTGTCTCTAGTCAAACATTTAGTGGGATACAATATAATTATCATTATTTATTTTTTATTATGATTAGGTTTGAATTTGAGATTTTTAATTTTAGGGTAGATTTGATAATTTTACACATAATTCGATAATATAATACAAAAATAAAAAAATAATAATATAATTTAATATTTTAATAAAAATCGTATATAAATTTGAAAAAACAAAAAAGTTTTTTGACATTTAAATATAAATTATAACACAAAAACTTTTATATTTTATATATACTTAATACAAAATAAATATAATACAAATACATATATTATCGTATCTATTTTATATATGACTTCAATAACACTATGCTATCTCAATAGAATTATCATTAGTATTATTATTACAAGTATTATTACTACGTAAAAAAATGTTCGTTTAGGGAGAAGGGATGGAGGGAGCGGGGATGGTTAAAACAGCCGACCAAGATGCCTTACATACCACGTTTCTTTCTCTTCACACACCAGTATTTAGGGGGCTTTTGTTTTCCATGCTGCTTTTTTCTCTTTACCACCACTCCTTCTTCCAGTTTACTATTTCTTAGTTCCATGGCTTCTCCCTTTTTCTCTCAATCCTTCACTTTATTTTTTTTTCCCTAACTTCCCTTAGCTTTATATAAGCTTTCTTCTTATTGCTTTGCTGCGCCACTTTCCATTTGAATCTTTTGGTTTCTTTATTTGTTTTTGTTCTTTCTGTCAGGTGCTTTGGACAATAAAAATTTCAGCTGTTTGGTCAGTTGATATATATAGGGGGAGAGAGAGAGAGATTTTAAGCTGAATTTTGAGGGGTTTTTGTACTTTGTTGATTGGAACCAAGATTGTGATAAAGAGAAGGTTATAGGAAAGAGAGGGGCAATAGGGTTTTAGCTTCTAACAGGAATGGAAAACATTGCTCTAATTGGTGAGGAATATGATCAGATGGATTTGCCCCCAGGTTTCAGGTTTCACCCTACTGATGAAGAGCTTATTTCTTGCTACTTGTACAAGAAGGTTCTTGACATTAACTTCAGCGCCAGAGCTATTGGAGAGGTGGATTTGAACAAGTCTGAGCCCTGGGAATTGCCATGTAAGAGTTGTTTCTCTCTAATTCAGAATTTTCATTTGCTTTTTCTCTTTGCATGTTATTGTTTCAGGATTTTGTTCAAAACTTTCTCATGTTTGTTTGGTTTGTTGGATACAGGGAAAGCAAAAATGGGAGAGAAAGAATGGTATTTTTTCTGCGTGAGAGACAGAAAATACCCTACTGGTCTGAGGACAAATAGGGCTACTGATTCTGGCTACTGGAAAGCCACGGGGAAAGACAAGGAGATTTACAGAGGAAACTCATTGGTTGGAATGAAGAAAACTCTTGTTTTCTACAACGGTAGAGCTCCGAAAGGAGAAAAAACCAACTGGGTCATGCATGAATACAGATTGGAAGGCAAATACTCAGTCCACAACCTCCCTAAAACTGCCAAGGTAACATACACTTTTTCTCTGTTTTCCTTTGCTTTTCCTTGTATGTAAGCCAAGTAGTGTTAATGGATCTTTTTGTTTTTATTTTGTAGAATGAATGGGTAATTTGCAGGGTATTCCAAAAGAGTTCTGATGGGAAGAAAACCCATATTTCAGGTCTTGTCAGGGTGGGTTCTTTTGGTAATGAGCTGGGTCCTGCTGGTCTACCACCATTAATGGAATCTTCGCCATACAATGGCAAGAACGAACCTGTTGCCAAATCGGCTTGCGTGCCCTGCTTCTCCAAACCTACTGATGCTCAAAGAAACCAAGAAGACAAAATTAATAACTTCAAAAATCCTACTGACATTTTCCCACCAATCCCACTTTCAAACTCTTTTTACTCTGCTCAAGCTGTCCCTTTCCCATCAAATTTTCAATACCCTGGCTCTGTTTTGATGCAGGACCAATCAATCCTGAGGACCTTAATTGAAAACCGTGGGTCAAACATGAGCCAGGATTGCAAAACGGAGAGGAAGATGGGTAGTGTTTCACAACAAACAGGTTTAACCACTGATATTAACACTGAAATCCCTTCTGTCATATCGAATCTCAAAGCAGGAAAGAGGCCATTTGATGATCAAGAAGCCCCTTCTACTTCAGCTGGACCAGTGGACCTTGATTGTTTTTGGCATTACTGAAATCAGAAACAGCAGCATTTGAAGAAGGAACAAGTTTAAAAAAAAAAAAAAAAGCTACAATTTTAGAAGATTAGACCTTTCATTTACTATTATTGCTTGAAAAATATTGTGGTGTGAGTCTGTATGAATAGAGATTTCCTGTAAGCCTAAATGAAAACTTTCAAAGAAATTGAAGCATAAAATTAATGTATTATTTATAATTAAATTACCATATGAGAAAACTTGAATTGTTCTCTTCTAATATTATTTTTTGTTTCATTTTATAGGTTGCTGCTGTTAAATTGGCATCATTATCGTTCAATTGCTTAGAAACAGAATTTGTCATTAATTGTTATTCGGTTTTGTTCTTTGTCATTAAAACACTTAACAATTGAAGACTTTTGAGAAGAGATTTTCACTACATTTTGGGTGCAATCGTTTGATGAATTGAACCTTTAAAGATTAAATCATTCTCATCACCTAAACAACATGAGAGTCTTGTGATTATGCACATATTCTTTTCGGGGGTTAACAATCCTTTTTAATGTTGCAAGAACATGTTTATATTATTAAGTTAAAAGTTTAGCACTCTATCACATGAATAATGATGAAATTAAAATGATATAACAAAATCAGCACAATTTTGAGGTTAGTTTCATGCATATTGACACCTTCACGAGAATAATAAAAAGGGTAGTCATTTTGTACAAAAGAAGAAAAAAGCATTGTAGTTTTAATTTATTAAATTATAAATTGGAAAGAGTCTCTTCCATCAAATAAATTTGTAATTGAAATTAAACATATTACTCATGAGATATTACTTGGATTTAATTCAAGTATTGAAAGTTTTAAGTTCAAATGAAATTTTCAAATTTTGAATAATGTTGGTGTTTTCCCTGTATAAAAATGAAAGATTTAAAAGGGACTTATCTTTTATATATATATATATATATATATTCGATTTTATACATGATTAGAATGATTCGTAACTAAACAAATGAAGTTAAGAAAATAACACATTTTATTTTTTTAATTAATTTTTTATTTTTAATATATATTAAGAAGTATATATCATTTTATTCACTCCATTTATGAAAAAGTTTAAATTCTTTTCTAATTGTGAATGAAATAATTTTATTATATATATAAATAGTTTGTATTTTTATTTTGGCAAAAAGATAAAAAAACCCTTCAATAAAAATACAATAATCATTTAAGTTTATGATATTTTATTATAATTAATTAAATCATAAATTTTTTATTTCGAATTAGTTGAATTATTAAATATTTATTTTTATTTAATTGAACTCTTAAATATTTATCTTAATCCAATTAAACTCTTAATTCGTTGAAAATAGATAATTATTTTTCTTTTAATAATAGTTCAATAGATGAAAATAAATATATTTATTATAAAAGGGATAAAGATTTGGATGGTTATTGAATATTAGTTAAGGAATTTTTTGAACCTTTTGCTTTTTATGTTTTTAGTAATATTTTTAAAAATAATAAATCTGATCATTTATATATTTATTTTTATTATTTCATAATAAGTGTAAAATACAAAAATTATGTTATTTTTTTATTTTCTCCTTTGGGTGACTCACAAAAGGGGATGAGATCAAATTCCACAGAGAGAGATTAAGAGTTATGCCTTTTAACGGTAGAGACGTAATCAAGTGGGCCCCAAACACCCCTCCCGCCCCTTTTTTCCGCGCTTAAAGGTGCACGCGTTACAGGTTCTGAGTTGCGTCATCGCCCAATCACCAACGAACATCCTTTAAGAAGTTTGGCCATCGATAGATACTTGCCACGTGGTATAGTGTCCCTTGGGCCCACCTTCCAGTTTGAAATGATAACGTGGAAAGATAAGAATGCCCCGCGATCATTTGCAAGAAAAAAGAATGAAACAAGTGAACTTACAATTTGTAAGTGGAAAAAATAAACACCATAATGAGTTTAAAAAAATTGAAATTCAATTTTTATTTTAATAAAAAGTAAATGACTTAATTACCTTTAAAAATCAATATAATTTATTTTATTTTTTGACATTTGAATAAATTTTCATAGATTTAATATCACTTGACTTCTGAATTGAACTCAATTATAAATTTTATAACTAGTATAATTTATTTTTTTTTTTTAAAAGAAAGTTTAAGGTGTTAGATTTGATTTGAAATTCAATAGAATTCATGATAGCAAAGTCTAAAGGGATATAGTAGACTTTTCTCAACTTCACAAAAAAAAAAAAAACTAGTTTTCCCGTACTTTCTTTTGTCGTCTTCTTTTCTTTTTTTTTTTCAAATAAGGCAAAGTCCAAAATTCTTTCTCTCTATTCATATTAGGGCATATATCTTTCTATGGTATAAGTGCATGAATCTAAACTAAGCATGGGAAGCAATTATTTTCATTTGAGCTTATTTTCGGAAGATTTCAAGTTCCACATTTCATATAACTTAACTTTCATGGGAAATTTCAACACAATCAAAATTTTCTGAATTAATCGACTAATCAATTTATGTGTGTATCTTTAAAAAATGCATAAGCATAAATTTAATTTCAAAAAACCTTTAAGCTCAAATAACAAAGATTAATCATCGAAAACCATAACTTACGACGGGAAATCGTGTCAATAACAATAAGATTAATCATTCAAATTTATTCTTGTAAAAGAAAAAGGATAATATAGCAATAGTCTCCATCCTTTCCCTCCGTCTGTATTCCTTTATGTAGGTTTTGAACAAAACAATGGATTTTATATAACTAGTAAGTGTAGATAAGCTTGACCCTCACCATATCTTATCCTTTGATCATTTTAAATCAAATCTTAGCTCCATTTTTAACATAGCCAACATGTTAATTATTTATTATATGATCATATATATATATATGCCTAGTTAAAATCACACAATCTTATTCGTTTTTATTGAAAATAGATTAGAATTAGATATTTGTTCCATCGGTTTTAAAGAAAAGCTTTCCATTATTTCAAATGGAAACTTTACAATTATTATTATTATAAAAAATTAATTAATACTCACTTAACATGAATGCTATTACTTGAGATGTTAATTGAATAGGTTCAAGTGGAGTCATCAACCTCAGATTTAAATAATTTCAATATGTTTAAATTATATTTAATTAGATTGATTTCTAAATTTAGGTTCTGTTGAATTTAGATAAACTTAAATACAACTCATTTCATTTTGGATTTAAGTCATATTTGTATTTGTTTAACATGAAATTCATCTTACATATAAAAATTTTCAAGTTTATATTTAATGCATTGTTAATATATAAATTGTATATACTATCAATAAATCATATGATGTCACTCATTAATAAGCAAATATAAATTTTTGTAAAACTCTGAAATAAATACACAAAAATTTAATTATTAATGATATAATATTATATAATTTATTGATTATATATAAAATTTAGACTTACCGTGTATTAAATATAGACTTATTTTTAAAAAGAAGACACTTGTTTTCTTTTCAATGTGTAATTTTTTTCTCTTTTGGCAAATCCTTGAAGAGAAAATTTATGTCAATGAGGCTAGCACCCAAAAAACAAATGATGTGAGGTAAGAGAGAAAGAGAAAGGATTCTGAAAATCCTTATATATATATAAACTATACTATCACTATCTTGTTGCTTTTGTTGATTGTCTTTATGGCTGGCAGAGGTGGGCAATAAAATGTGATTTTTCCAATTCCTTTTTGGCCACAATCGATTTTTTTTTTGAACGATTTTGCATTTTGTTCGATTCGAGGAAAAAGTTAAAATGAGAATATATATAGATAGACAGAAACAAATATTTATAATTTGATATAATATATATTATCATACTAATTATATATTCCTAATTAAAGTTTTTGATATTTGAATATGTTAAAATCATCTAAATTTAAAGAATCGATACAAAAATAATGACAACGTCCTTAGATAATACAAACTACAAAGATAAATATTTTATGTGTCTTATTCATATTCAAATCTATATATTTTTAAAGAATAATTAGATAATCATCATAAAACACGGGATTTTAAATTAAGATAAAGAAGACATTTGATTTCAAATTAAATATTAATGGGAACAAAAGTCAAAATCCATACAATTATTTAATCACATCACTAATGAATTATGTAAAACCCATTAAAATATTATATGAAGTTACACTTTAAAATAGATTCTATATTTTTGGATTTTACATAATTTTTTATTATGATTAGATAATTTAAAAATTTTTTTTATGAATCTTTTATGCTTAAATACTCATGAGTTTTGAACTTATGATATTAGGTTATATATAAAAAGTAAAATATTTTAATTAATATCAATCACTAATATACGAATGTTATAAATGATTTTAAGACTATGTTTTATTACAAATATAATAAATTCTTATATATAACTATTTAAAAGAATAGAAGTTATGTAGTTTTAGGAATAATCATTTTTATTAGAAATTATTTAACTAATTTTATTTTTATTAGAATTATCTTTATAAACAAAATATAATCATAATGATATTATCATATATTAACATATATAAAAAGCATATTTTTAAAAATAAAAAACAATTTATCCAATAGCATCGCTCAGGATAAAATTCTAGTAATCTTTTATAGTTACGCATATTTATTCTTTTTTCATGTATATCAATTGTATTTATTTACATGTGAATCTAACTTACCTAATCATAATTAACAGGAGCACATCACCTATAATCATTGTATTATAATTAATTAATCACAATTTAAAATTATGTGGATTTATCAAAATTTTATGTGGACTTCACACTAATAAGTCTACATATTTTTGAATATGATGGGATAATTATAAATTATATTAAAAAAAATTGTAAATAAAATATTTCCTTAATTAACAAATCAATTAAGCTTAATTTGAAGAAATTAGAACGTGTTTAGAAATATGTCACTTTTTTTTTTTTTTTACCAATAAGATATGTCACCTTAAAATTGTAAATTTCAAAACCAAGAAACTAAATGTAATTAAGGTGGTAATCATTAAACTAATTATGATCTCTTATAATTGGTGTCTACATTAAGTACTTCATCTGTATTTTTGGGTTATCCTCCCTTTTTATATATATAAAACTATGAGAGAGGCTATTTCATTATAAGTTTAGGACATTTAGCGGATCTCAACAAGAACTTAAATCATCCATTAAAAAATAATACTAACAATAAAA